TGACATGCGCCAAGTTTTTACAGAACATGCAAAGTCTTTAGAAAAAGACTCCAGGGCAGGATTCAAACCCAGGACCCTCAGTGCATTTGTAATCACTGCAATTTGTCAACAGTGGTGTTTGGTGCATGACGAGTACCTGGGGCCAGACCCCCAATTTTGCCCTCTCCACCCACCGAACCACAAACAGCCAAACACAAGTCTGGATCCTGACAATTTATATATATATATATATATATATATATATATATATATATATATATATATATATATATATATTTTTTTTTTTTTTTTTTTTTTTTACGGTGCATCTTATCAGAAACTGATCTGTTTATAGTTGTGTTGTAAAAAAAAAAAATACATCAAACGCTGACAAGAAAGCATGAGGATGAGCATACTATTACATTTTTTTAAATTATTTTAAAGCCTCTGCAGACTTGAAAACGAAAATTAATGAGATAAAATTCACACTTATAATGCATGACTGACTCCGCTGAGTCAGGAAACCCCCGCTGACTGTAGGTGGATCTGTTTCCATTGCTTCACAATTGCTCTCCATTTATAGCGTTCGGATTATTCTGAGTGTGTCAGGATAAATGAGGCGTTTAGCAACATGGTGATAAAGTTCATGTTAGAAACCTGCAACTTACAATTGGATCAATTCAGAACAGTCTTTAACACCCTTTCCTGCAATCTTAAGAAAGTTTCCTTCTCCATGTCACACTTTGCGAATATGAATCTATTCATGTTCTGAACTGTTTTCTGTTCTTGACTGTGGGAAGGCGGAAGAAGAAGAGCAAAATGTTTGACTCCTACGTAAGATCTCTAGACAGAGCAGAGACGCGGATTGGAAGAAAGAGTTGGGGACAAAAGTCCAAGTTGGGATTGGAGACAAAATCCTTTCAGGCATTCCACAGATTGGGAAGTTAGTTTGAGAAAACAAACAAACTTATCCAAACGCTGCGGGCGGTGGGCGCACATCCAAAAGCCAAAGAACAAAACAGGGTCGAAAACAATGAGGACTTACACTGGGAGAATAATGGGAAACTCAAAGATGGACAAAGATAACGGAAAATAAACCAAAAATAAAAACCCACAAGTGAGAACAGACTGTATTCAGGTCGCAGAGGCTGAGCTCCACTTCTGCTCTGTGACGCTGAAGAGGCTCCGGTTTGGACGTTTTTGGCCTTTTTACTCGTGGAAACGTGGCTCCGTGACTCCAACACATCAGAACCACAGCTAAGTTACTTAGCCACGAAACATTAGGCGCTTTGATACATGTCCTTCTCAGAAATGTATCAAAACACTTAAACGACCAAGAAGCGTACACTGATACTCTGTGGTTATGTGTCAACGTACAAAATGTTCTTTTAATAATTAGAAAATTGAGGCTGTTCAGAGCAGAGCTTCGAAGCAACTGGATTTGAAAGAAATTGACCCAGAGCTTTCTGTTATGTTTCTCGTTCTGATGCAACTCTTCAGAGGGACAAGTGGACAAGAAGAGGCAGCAGAACAGAACAGCACTGACAAGGCCGCAAACACCAACATGTGTTCAACCCCACAAAACGGGACGTTCCTCATGCTTATGTCAGAAAAGTCACAAAAGGCCTCGGCTCGACGCCTCCTCAAAAGCTCACTAGTGGCACATGAACAACTTGATCAGTGGGTAACGTACGAGAAAGCATAATCTCCAGCTAACTTGATCTGGAGCCATCTACAGCAAACCCAAAGCGTCACCACGTAATCTCAGTTTCAGAAAAGCAAAAGTATTCCAGAGGTTTACGGATGCAACGCTTTCCTCCAACGTTAATGGAGGCAACGAGGGAATGAGGAGACGCTGGAAATTACGCTGCGTTTGGACGCAAGCGATCGTTTTCTCTGAGATTTCTAGCATTGTCACACTGTGTGTAGGCCGGTAAAAGACCCCGCTGATTCTTGCTCACACTCCACTGACTAATATTGGCCACAGTGTCTCCGCTCCGAGCCGCCTCCGAGGCCCCCGTCTGCGTCTGTAAAAACAGTCAGGGGCGTCTCACGCACGTCATCAGCGGAGCCAGAGAGGCCGCTGATGAAAAGGGTGGCAACGTTCTGCTTTTTCTGCATGAAAGGAACCATTAGTCAGTCTTAAAGAGACACACCTCTGGGGCTATTGATAGCCACACAGGCTCTCTTTTTCTTTTTTTTTTTTTCTACGTTGAAAGCTGACCACCAAGCATTTTGAGGTGAGCCCAGAAAAAAAATACAAAATAAAAAAAACAAAATTCCCCCTCTCTCTGCTCATTTCCTCCCCGCCCTGGACTCTGCAGAAAGCCGTGGACTGTGACAAATAGCTCACTGGGGTTATTTTTAGCTTCAGGCGTCCAGAGCCTCCTATTTATGCTCCAACATGTGCCCAGAATCGGCACATCGCGAGGGAAAGCAGTGAGGTAGACATGTTAGTGAGACAGTTAGTGCACTGAACCGCAACCAGGTTAGCAGGCCTGATGGCGTCAGACGTATCCGAACTGTGAATCAGCTTTTAATGATTTGGCTGCAGCAGATTTCACACACCAGAGTCTGCTTTCTCTGTAAAATGTCTGCCTTCTCCGAGATTTCACACCACACTTTGATGGAATAATCACACAGGGAAAGTGAGCTTTGGTGTTTCAATGAACAAAAAATTACAATTTAGAAAGAAAACACAGTTCATTGGTTGTTTAGATTGCTGTTTTTTAAAATTAAACCAAATCGTGTCATCTTACTTTTTAATCAGTGATGTATAGTTACATTTCAGATGGTATAGAAATGATGTTTATTTTTGTTTTCCATGAGCAAACTTGCGTAATATTACAGATAAGGTCAACCTTTGATGAAGAATGGAGGATACAGAGTTTGTTTCAGTGATTACATAAGATAGCTACAAAATTGTAAAAAAAAAAAAATGACTCGCATGTTACTTGTTAAAAACACACTTAAAAAAAAAGGAACAGTACCAAGCTGTTCTGTACAATTATTGAGACAAGCATGCAACACATTCAGTTTCATAAATTAGAACATGATCTTTCTTTGAGTTCATGCAATAAAACATGTATTTCTTTATCCCTCAGCTCAAACTTAAACTTGTCATCAAAGCTGACTGACAAAAACACTAAAATCTGAAAAAGGGGAGTCAAGTTCCCTCTTAGTTGTAAGTTGACTCGTTTCTGATGTGAACAGAACCGTATTTTAATCCTATGCTGATGAATTGGTCAACAAGTAATGACTGACAAACATTTTCTGACTTTGGATCTCATGGAAGAAAGTCATGAATGTTCATGTTGATGGAAAACTCTATCCGTGAATGATCACAGTTTTTTCAATCATCTAAATTCACATGACCGATTTCTGGGGAAAGAAAACAACATTGGAACAACATCCTCATTCTGTCCCTGTGTGGTGAAGAACCCGCCACGAAAAGTCAAGACCTATAAACTATAAACATTATAGCATGAACTAAGTGGACAAAATGTTTTCGTTCAAGCAGCAGACGGCTCACAGTTCCTCTAGCGTGTCTCTGGAGTCGCTCCTGGTGCTGCTCTTGGATTTGTCTGCAATTGTGTAAAATAATGAGATCATCCTTATTTCTGGTTCTGGGGATTCACAGTTTGATGACATACCCACAATGTTCGTCATCATTCCTGCCGGTTTCACCAAAATAGGACCTCACTTGTGATTAGACCTTTTCTAAAACATTCATACAGTAACGCATGGTGGATTAAAAAAAGCAAAGTATGAGCGATGCTTGAATTTATTCACTGTGAAATACAGAGAAACTCAAAGGAATTTGTTAAACAATGAGTCAATGTCTCAAACTCAGTGCTATATTTGTTTTTACTGTATTGTTGTTGATGAAAATGCAAAAAAATATCATCTTTAACATATATTTATATTTATAATTAGGGCCTAATTCTCAACAAAGGTCTCTGTCATCATATTGCCTCAGAAAACAAGCTGCTGTTGTCAACACTAGATTTGGCCACTGCGCCCCCTAAAGGCAATAAACGTTACTGTCCTTACAGAGACAGTAAAGACTTAAATTAGAGGTAAAATGAGGTTCTATGAGTTCTTTGAGTTAGCACCTCGCCTGCAGCGTATAACTCCTCTGGTGTCTTCATCCAGTGTAAATCTGGATTAACTGGATCTGTCAGATGAAGCTAACTTTCTAATCCGAGTACGGCTTTAATCTGACAGGGAATCTGGAGAGACCTGTAGATTAGGATGATGGGAACGAGATCTTTCAGCCTCAGATATTTGACATCATCATCTATTCTCAAAATACCTGAAATTTGAAAGAAAAAAATATACATAATGAAGGGATTGCCTGGTGTAATGCTACTAATTACCATGAATATTTTGACATGCAATCTTCAATAAAATGTACAAAAAAATTTTTTTTGACGTTAATGATTGTTTTACATGCTTCAATATTCTTTTGAGAGATGTTTGCCACATACAGTTTTCAGTCTATGTCTGCCAGGTGTGGGGATGCTACTGGGGTCAACTGAATGTGACCTGAGTTAAGCTGTAAACCGTTTCCAAGTGGAGGAAACTCAAGAGAACCAGCAGCGTGATAAAAAAAAAATACATATAAAAACAGAGACTAAGAACAACAGACGACAGGAAGAGCAAGTTTATGACATAATACTGGACAGTTATTAAAAATAGCATACTCTGACTCGAGAAAATATGAAACCTCTTTTCTTTTTTCTTCGATGAGTTAAACCGGGCCGCAGCACCACCTAGAGGATCAACGTGAGCACTGCAAGAGAAATTGGTATTGAGGTGGTTTCATTAATTATTATTATTATTATTATTATTATTATTATTATTATTATTATTATTATTATGTTGTTGTTGTTGTTGTTGTTGTTGCCCTTGAAACTATTTCCTTTACTGTTTTACTTTAGGACAAATGAACCGCCTGATAATAAAGGTTGAAGCAGGAGCAGGGACCCACTGCGTGTTGTTTCATTAATGTAGAAGAAGAAGAAGAAGAAGAAGAAGAAGAAGAAGAAGAAGTAGATCTAGTTCTGACGAGGTACGAGCATCTTTTAGTGTGAAAGCAGCGGCTGCTTCTTCCTCCTTCCACGGGGGGCGGGGAGGGCGCTACCGGTTCAGTCTCCAGCCTGTTCTGGGAGGTCGAGCGGTGGACTGCGGCTCACAGTCAAACTCTTCCCAGTTGAATCCCTCCTGAGCAGCAGCAGCAGCAGCAGCTTCATCATCCGTCTTGCGGACATGGACTTCTCCATCAGAGCGGCGAACGTGGAGGACTGCAAGGACATCGCGCGGATGATCCGGGTGAGCGAGACACGTGCGCACGTGCGGCGTGATTACTCCGGGCTTACGTCAGAGAAAGCCGGTGATGTTGCTTTTATGAAGCTCGTGGATGCTTTTCTCTTTGGAACTGTGGGGTTTTGTTGCCAGCAGGCTTCACGCGAAAGACCCGAAAAAAAGGCGCGCGTGGTGACGTAAACTGACGCAAACATTTGTTTCCCCTTCCCAGGAGCTGGCAGAGTACGAGAAGGTGGCCGATCAGATTAAAGTCACACAGAGAGGTAATTATATCAATTAAACTGACAGCCATCTTTTTTTTTTTTTTACATAATTGGTGCATGAAAGAGTGTCCCTCGTTAAATCAAAAATAATTTAATTTAAAAAAAAGACTCCTGTGAATGTCTAGTTATCAACCAATAAGAAGAGAATACACGCAAAGTTATAATTGATCAAAATAAGAGAATTATTCATCCAGATACTGACATTGTTTGCTGTCACAGGTCACGTGGTGTTTCTCCATCTAGTGGAAATGACTGAACTGTCTGCTGTCAATATTAATGTGGAGTATTAATATTATGAGCAGCTGGAGTATTTAGCAGTGAAGGAAATGACTGATGGAAAGCCATAAAACTGATCTGTTACAAACCCATCGTCCATCTTGGTGAACTCTATGTAAACAGAGGCTTTATCTGCATTTTTATTTAGCATGTAAATAAAAATATATGCTAAAAACCAATAAAACAGGGAAGTGAGTTATAATTTCCCTTCTACTTTATGAGTTTCATACAAAGTTTCTGATTGGAACGTGACAAACTGTATAAACGGCATGAACACGTTTTCAAGGTGCTGCGTCCTTTTTTATCTCACGACAGCAACGCTGGATATTTAAAATAGTGGCGAAAAGCAGCAGGATTTAATGCCCTTCGTTTGAGAAAGCACAATCGCAGATTCCTCACATTCAGGCTTCTCTTTGTCAACTTTTCCCAGACTTGGAGCAAGACGGCTTCTCCAAGAACCCGTTCTTTCACGGCATCGTTGCCGAGGTGCCGGAACAGCACAGAACCAAAGAAGGTGAGAACAAGTGTCGGCGAATCGCAGAGCCCCATTTTCTCGGCACTCCTCATGTCAGTGTTTGTTAGTGGTCACGTGTTGCCTAATGTAGCAGGATGCTGCTGATGCGTCCTCTCCCTTCATTCACCTCTTACGTAATAAAGCTGATGCACTGCTTCCTCCGTGTGCAGTAATCAGCTCGTTAGTACATGCTCCGTTGCTCAGCTCGACCTTTTTCCACGCAGTCACCTCTGATCTCCCTCCGCTGGACTCAGACGTCTGACTGCACAGTCAGGAGCGGCGTCATGGTTCTGCAAGACTCCCAACACAGACACTGTTGAACACACATACAGTCCTTGGAAGAAGAAAGTACGCCCTCTGTTTGACCCTGACGTTTTAACGTGTGAAGGATCGACACCAGGGATGTTCAAAATGCGGCCCGGGGGCCATTTGTGGACAGATTTTAGTGGGCCCCCAGGTCACCGATGTACAATTAAAGAACGGTGCATGTTTGGTCCAAGGCAGAAAACGTTTTACTGACAAAGTCTTTTTAGAATAGGTTCCACACAAAGCATTCATCTTTGCTTTCTTATTATTTTATTTATTTATTTTGGCATTTTATTGATTTACAAACTAAATGCTGCAAAAGTTCACAAACAAATAGCAACTCAGATCCTGTTCATGTATAATCTAGACATAGCAGATTATACTGGGTTATTAAAATGATCTGATGTTCTTATTAAACAGAGATGACGCCAAAATGGAAATGCTTGTAAAAGACTTAGTGTATCCACCCAAAACACTAGACATGTACTAACCCCTATTGACAGTGGGTTAGTGAATGTGATTTTACAAACATCTCTGCAACACAGCAGAAATCTGCTGTGTTGTTGAATTTTGAATTTTTCATGGAAATCTCAAGAAATCCTCTTATAAGGATAGCTGGAAGCAGAAAGGGGTTGATATAAAGCTCGATATCGGGGGCTTGGTTAATTAAGAATAAGGGGAAATAAGAGAGCAGAGTGTGAATGTAAATAAATTCCTGAACACGTCTAACGGTCACCGTTTCGCTTTCAGGACATACGAAGATCGGCTATGCACTTTACTTCTACTCCTACAGCTCCTGGACAGGAAGAGCCGTTTACATGGAGGACTTGTACGTGATGCCAGATTTTCGAGGTAAATAATTTTCTTCATTGACTGTTGTTGTTAATATAGTCATGTGCATCGATATATCTTAATTTTGATCTTTGTCTGTTCAGGAAAGGGAATTGGAAAAGCACTTATGAGCAAGGTAGCACAGGTGAGCAACATCGGCGCATCGTTAAAAAAATAAACATGTAAAAAAAAGGCGCTAATGTTTAGCTGATGTCTTTTGGTGTCCAACAGCTGGGTCTGGCCGCTGGATGCAACCAGCTCAACTTCACGGTTCTGGACTGGAACAAGTCGTCCATGGACTTTTACCTCAGCCAGGGCTGCTTCGATGTCACGGATAAAATGGGCTACCACTGCATGCGCTGCGAGGGTGAGGCTCTGGAGCGCCTGGCTCAACCTTAACCTGACGCTGCGACCTTTGAAAACCTGGAAGTCAGTCCAGGCAATGCAGAGCTCCACTTTACGGCCGATTGTTTAAAATGTCATGATGGTTTATAAATCGGTGACTTTTTCTTGCCAAACCTTTTGAACCTTAAGTTATTAATTATTTGTCCGTCGGACCTTAAAGCCATTTTACCGCTCGGTTTACCCGTGAAAATTATGCAAAAATGATCCAAATGAAGTTTTTTCATTATTTTGTATTGATAACAATAGAAATCAGGGTAGCCATTTTAAAGATTTCATCCCACAACTATATTTTTACGGTAGTTTTAGGTAGAAAATCTGTGTTCTCCACATTATACGCTCTTAAAGCTACACAGCAATACTTGGAAGTTATTGGCAGAATAATCCATCACAAACCAATACAATAGATTTGATGTAAAATCAGTTTCATTGAAAAGTGTGGGTGAACGCTTATATGCACAAAAAAAACAAGGTTTCTAGATGCAAAATCACATTTAATGCCACGGGAAGAAAAGGTAAGACTTCATTTGATGGAGTGTGCATGAGATTGGCATGTTCATAACATGTGTTACGAACATGAAGGAGTCGTCATGAATGCTTATGACTGTTGTCATGAAGTGTTGTTTGGTAATTAATGACACCTTTGATGCAAAGTTGACCAATTTAACGGACTTTTAATACAACTTGTAAAGCAACTTTGCATTAAAGGCGTCATTATTTACCAATTGACACTTCATGACAACAGTCGTAAGCATTCATGAAGACTTCTTCATATTCATAACAGATGTTATATCGTGTTTATGACACTGTCATGTCAGTCTCATGCACACCCCAGCAAATACAGTGATACGGAGAAAGGTATCCTTGTCCTTGAGTACAGTGATGGAGAATAAAAACTAAGTACATTGTTTCGTTGACGCCGAGTTTACGAGCAGAGGCTCCTGTACTACCAGATCGATACTCCTCAACTTAAAAGGAGTTTTGATCTGGTAGTACAGATCGATACCCCCTCATTTTTTGTTTCTATGATGAGGAAAACATTTCTCCGTCCTGCCTGCTGCTAGCATGTGCTGGTTCTAAATGAAAATCACCCAGTTTCTTCTTAGATTTCCAATTGACTTCCAATGATTCACTTCCTGCTGAAGAGCCCCCTGGTGGTTGAGGAAAAATCTACAGCAAAGCCGCACCGGGTTATTAGCCATGTGGGAAAAAAGTAGCGGCTTTTAATCCAAAAAATACAGTACTTAGTTTTTCATGACTGTTTTGAAGGCTTCTGATTTTTTTGTCTCCACCTGACAAGCTAGTGGATTTAACATCAGCTTACTAGCCGATTACATCTCGCCTCCTCCTTGTATGCACACTGTGTCAACTAAAATGAATTTAACTAAAAATCCAAAAGCGTTCAACACATCCTGAAAGAGATTTTATCCTTCGCTATTGTCCCAACATCTGGATTAATCACCATAAATCTAAATCCCTCTGCTTTAGAAATGTACTCAAGCTAAATGGGATTGATTTTAGAGCAACCATTTAGCACCGCATTACTTATTAAAATGATTAAATTATGCATGAATATAAAAGCACAAAGACTTTGCAGAGAGCCACTGCTCATTTTGTCAAACACTATGTCACCTCAAACGAGAGAGCCGAACGTTTTAGAAATAAAAAAAATGTTTAAAAAAGCTGCTCTAAAATAACTGTGCTGCGTTTTTATGTGTTAATAGACCGTAAAGTCATTATGGTGAACCATTACTGCCATTTCCTCGGTTGAACTCCTTAATAGTTGCCCACTGCTGTTGTTGTGGGCCGGTAATTGGCAGTGTTGGTGTTCATAGTTGTCACTTGGCAGCAGAGCTGCTGGAAAACCCTCACCTGAAGGGCAAAACAACAAACAGCACTAATCTGCCCTCCAGCCATCCTCTCAAAATTCAGCTTTCAGATCCACAAATCAACACAAACAGAGGTCTGGAGGGAGCATTTAAAGGATTCCTGTGCAAAAAAAAAACCTTGCCGTTTAGTGTAAATGCAGTTTATGTTTTTTTATTATTATTATTATTATTATTGTTTAGGCTTTTATTTTTTGTACTAAAATGTTTTGATGAAGTGTTTATATAGGTACAGTTTTATGCCATGAAGCTTGTTTACTGAGTTTATGGTTTGCTGCTAATGTTAGCTCCTTTAATCTTTTACTCGTTTACGTGTTGGTGATTGAAAAAGTACGCGGTCGTTTTAGGGCGCGACATTAATGTGCCAGATCAATGCTACTGTAAATAAATCGTATGTGTTGGAGACGCACCAAAAATTAACCGGCTAAAGTGACACCTGGAAAAGCTGAAGATGCTTAATTGGCTCACCTGGCGAAGATTTTAAATGGCAGCGATGCTAAAATTCACATAATGGCGGAGATTTTGTGTAATTATAATAAAAGGCAAAAGTGAGATAACCGACATTATAATTTTCAGTAATATTGACATAGTTATGTGGGGATTTTTTTTTGGCTATCTTGCACCCCTCATCCAGATTAAATGTACTTTTAAAAACTGACAGCCTGGCAGCGTTGAAACATGAGAAATTTAAATACGAGGAAATATTTCATTTCCCTTTGGGATCAATAACGTATCTTTGAATTCTCTGAACGCCGAAGTGGAGCTCTGAGAAAGACTCAGCCTCTTTCAGCGATCCAGAGTCTTCAGTGTTTGTAGTTTGTCTGGATATCTCAGTTTTCCTTGAGACGTCAAGGAAAACCGAGATGAAAGGCGTCTCGACTTTGATGCAGGTGGAAACTTTCTCTTTCTCTGCGGTTTTCCCTGCTGTACACAAACTCTCCGTTGTTGGCTGCCGCTATAAAGCGACTACTTTGCCGACCAAAGACGGTCAAATGCCTGAAAACTACGACTACTTGGGTATTAAGCTCTGGCTGACAGCTAAAGTTTTCCATCCTGCCTCTGCTGTCGTTCGACTCGGTCCTGATTGGATAAAAACCGAGCGAGATCAGAGGCTTTTTTTTTTAAATTAGGCTTTCTGAAGGAGCGCCGAACCTCCTTCTGTCCGTCGGCTGGCCAAAAGACGGCTGCTTCACGCTTCCATTGCTCACCGCACTAATTTGGCTGCTTGGCAATATTTCCAGTCGTAAAAATGTTGTTTAGTTATGTTGTCCAAACTAGACCACCCATCGGTCTTATTAACATAGATTTGGTTTTACGGTATTCTAAGCCTCGTGATGAATCCTGCAGATAACTCTTCCCAATCAAGGTGGGATTTGGGGGGAGGAAAGTCCAAAAACAGGACGCCAGTTCCTACAGAGGTGTGTATGTGTTACACACCTCTTAACTCATCTGCTGCTAAGCCAGAGGATGATGGGTCTACTGTTTGACCACAGTCGATATTGTGTGCTCACTCCGTCGCGTTCTTTGTGCACTGAAGGAATCGTTTAGAGCTCAAAGCTTCTCCTATGCAGCCAAACTCGGGGTGCAGCTTTCAGGGAAATGGATGAAGCCCAAATTCAAACCAAAACAATCCACTCAGTGGAATTTGGAGTGGGGGAAAGGGGTGCTGCAAAAAAAAAAAAAAAAAAAACCCATAAAGCTTGAAAAGTGGGCTGGTTGCACAACTTTAAGCTTGTCATGTTTAAATGAAAGTGGCATTATTCTGGTCTGAACCACGAGTTTTTCTCTCTTTTCTTTTTTGTCAGGTCTTCTGCAGTTTAATGAAAATATGCTAAGTTTTATTTGCATTGTTTCTGTTCCACTCAGACAAGTAAAAACCACTGACCCTTCTTTGCAACGTTTGCATTTTGGCATGGAAATGTGTCCTGGAATGCGTTTCATAGGCCATTATTCTGCTGCTGCAAACTGCAAGGCGCAAAGACCGAGCGAGCGCGAGAGATTTGGATTCTTTTACAGCGTGCAACTTCCCGTCAACGAGAGTGCAAATTATACAAATACATAAAAAAGAAAAAAAAATCCAGCCCAATTTAAAAATCACCGTTTCTTCCTAATACACCTGCAATAAATCATCGAGGTGGAAAGTTTCCCGGTGTGTGTTCAGGTTTACGTTGTGTAGCCGTGTGTTTGAGTAATAACTATGCAGTGTATCTGTCAGAATAAGTGGATGAAACGTCTGTGTTTGTGTGTTTCGGCGTTCAGAAAGGACGCCGGCGCGTTGTACCGCCGCTCCAAATTCGGTGTCAAAGCGTCCTCTACATGTAATTTACTGCGTGCAAAATCATTTTAACATACGTTTGATTTAATAATAGCTTAAAGGGAGGGTTGGTGGGAACGTGTGACTAAAGCTGACCGTGCGGCGTTCAGGCTTGAACTGAGTCTTGACTGGGTTTTTGTTTTAGGATACGTCCTGGTGTGAAACACAGAGCATAAAAAACTGAACACACACATATATATATCTATATATGTATATTTTTTCTCCTGAGCCATCAAACTGTTGTGATTTTACAAAAAACACTACATTGTATTCAGTTATGTGAGAAAAAAAATGTTTGTTTCAGAAGTGATAATTTTGCGTGATGAACGGGTCTTGTGATCAGTCTGTGTGTTTATTTCCTGTGTGTGTTGGACGTCTCTGCTCAGTGATCAAAGAAATAAAAATGTTACACACAGCACCTCGGGCTGCGTGTGCTTATAGTTGCTCACTTTGTGTGTTTTTTTTTTTTTTTTTTTTGAGTAGGTGATTTTCTCATTTTGAGAATGTTTTTATTAAAACGTCCAGTAAGTGAAGAAAGCAAATCTTAATAAACATTAATCACATTCGACCTACAGAGGGCACACTAACACCGTCAGTTCCTTCAAACCTCATGTTGTGTTCCTCAGCTTTGATTGCCAAGATTATTAGTTTGCATACAGGAATGTTAATATTATTTTAGAACAGCGTTACAATCTCAAAACTTCAGAAAAAAATCCAGTTTGAGATCAATTTGAATTCAGTTATTCAGTGTGGGGAAAAAATGTTTAGAAAGAATTGTTGACACAATTTTGTTTTCACTTTTTGGCAATTAACACAATTTCTGTGCGACACACTATGGTCAGTCGTGTGACATTGTTTGTTAAATCTTAATTTTTAGTCAGTGACCTTTTGTTTTAAATGTCATGTGACAGACGCATTCTTCAAAATGGGAAAGCCAAAAACAGTTAAATGATCTTCAAAGGTCAAGAAGCGACTACAAAAAAATCTTAAACAACGTTCACACTGCAGGCAAATGCGACAAATGTCCGACTTTGAACAACCTAATTCCTATATACTTTTTTTAACCCCATCCCAATAAATCCAATTTGGGCCACTTCTGCATGAGGAACTAAATTGAAAATGTGCCCAAAAGCTTCCAAATCATCTGCAGTCTGAACTGTGTATCGTTGACGTGAGACGTGCATCATAATTCTGAAAAAGAAGAAGCCAGATGTTGTAAATCCAGGTGTAAATGATGGCAAAACCAAGCAGTGTCGACACTCAGCTGCTTTTTGTCTTGGCGTCCTTCGCCTTGTTCAGATACTGTGACGATACTGTTGGTTCCCGTTGCTCAACTGCAACAATCGATCTGCAGGGAGCCGCTGTGCACATGCGTGTCACTTTGGAGTAGCAAACAGAAGCTGGATTTACTTAGCAGTGTGAAAGACCACGCAAAAAGAAAGTCGGATTTAAGCCAAACAAAAACCCAAATCGGAACTGAGAATCAAAATTTGCTGTTTGAACGAAGCTTAATTACCTAGACGGCCTCGTAACTGAAACAATACTGCTTGAATTGTGATAAACATGGCCGGACCAGGACCAGGACCCAGGTTTACCTCACAAGTTAGAAAACTTCAGACAGTCAAAGAGCCGTTTCTTGGAATCACGGCAGGAAAACCGCGTAACGTGTGGATGGACTGGGACTGAAACCGGAACAGATGGCTTCAGTCTGTAACCCTAAGGCCGACCTTTTCTGCAACTAACTTCAGGTACGTCGGGATGAAGATGTGGGGCGAAAAACGACTTATTTCTACTGTGAAGCACGGTGGAGGATCTGTGATGCTGTGGGGCTGTTTCTTTTCCAAACACACTGGTAACCCTGTCAGAGTCCTTATCGTTTAAATCCCTGAACAAGTTTATCTGAATGAAAATCTAGTGCCATCATTAGCCAGAAAAATGTAAACGACAGCTTAACGGACGAGAACGAATGGCCAAAACAAATGCAAGAGAATTTGCTTGGCGGGATTATTAAACATTTATGTTTCTTTTTCAGCTCCAACCTATTAAAATGTCATGGAAGACTGAGGATGTTAAAGGAAAATAGTAGAGTTGGCAACAAATAACACACAAGTCAGTCCCCAAAGGTTGTTTTTCAATTCAAGTGATTTTGTGACACTTTTGGATCTTTCCTCAGATGCGTGCTTAGAGTAGAGATTCTTCTTTCCGTCTGTTTGATCTCGCTCAAATGAAAGAAAGAAAATCAAATCAAAGACGGCTTGTATCTGAAGCCGTTACGAATTGAATATTGCCCCGTCAAAATAAAACCAGAGGGCCTCAAACTAAACGTTTTTCAAAGGAAGCTTGCTTGAATCTGCTCTTACTGTTTCTGATATTAATCAACTGTTTGTATCTGAAACATGACCCAAAAAAAAAAAGAAAAGAAAATGAGCCAACGCAGGAAGGGAGGAAAAATGCAAAGGATAAAAAAAAAACCTGAAACTGCAGGATATTTTTGGGTAGGGGGGAGAAAAAGGTGAAGGTAATTCATGGTGACTGCACAAGTTTTTCCAATTTTAGTGGTTTCACTGTGAATCCGATGCTGAGGAATCAAATTCTACTTCTGCAGTCAGAAAACGAACCGGTGTTTGGTTTGTCTTTTTCTCTTAGTTAGAGGCGAATCATGAAGCTTCTCAGGGACGTATCAATAAGACCATATAACTTATTACACTTATTTTATTTCATATCTGTTATGGGTTTGTATCTGTATGTGTTTTCCACTGGCGTACTGAAATTATTTACCAGATGTTTATATAACAAAAAGAATCAAATTGAAAGTTCGATTGCAGTTCGCCAGAGGCGTCGTATATGATATGTGGAGGAAAACATACTGTGCACCATCAGCACTGTGAAACACGGTGGTGGCAGTGTTATGATGTGCGAGATGGGAGCTAAAACACAGGAAAATCTTGCGAAAAGCTTTTTTTTCCCTTCTTTTTTCAAAGAGGAATTGGCAAAAATGCAAATTAGACTTGTAACTAAAACGAGTCTTCTTATCTGTGGGTAGTTAACAGACTTACATTAGCTAATTGGGGCTTTTTATTTTTATGCCTCAGAAAGTCCCAAGGGGAAAAACCAAAAAAAACCAAAGCAAAAACAAAAAATTTTTTGGTTATAACGTCACCTGCATACTTCCCCAAATCCTGAAACACAACTCTATGTTAGAACGTGGATTCAAAATAAACACAAGTATTTTAGACGCATCTATCCTTCAGGACTTTTTTTCACCTGTTGACAAAGTGCAGGCCGCACAGCGCCTCTACAGCCGCCTGGCGGCCACAAGCGGCACTGCCTGCCGACACGACTGGCACACATAAATAAGGCAAGTCCCTTGATGAAAGTGATTTGACGGGCAGCGGAAGCTCCTGTGCGTTGTTTTTTTTTTTTTTTTTTTTTTTTTTTTGTCTTTACGCGCACGCCTCTGATGGTGTCACGCAACCCACCCCCCCTCCCCCCATCCGACACAGCGGCGTGTGTGTGCGTGATCAGTCAGTCTGGCTGTCTGTCTAATAGACTGACCCCCCAGCGAGCCGTATAAAGGGAACGCAAGAGCGCTGAGTCAACGAATCGCGAGCAGAAGGATGCAACAGTTGATGTGCGCATAAATGTGCAGAGTTTTTCCTCGCGTTTTGGAGACGCGCTGCGCAGGGAGGATGGTGGCTGTGATCCGTCAGGGGGAAAGGCTCCAGTCTTAGATTGATTTTCTTTTCTTTTTGTTTGTTTGCTTTTTTTTAAAGAAAAAAATAAGAAAACTGCATATTTGTTCCTCCACAACGCAGTGACAAAAAAAAAAGAGAGAGAGAGAGAGAGAGCAAGCGCCGCGCTCTCTACAAATTAATGGGACGTGTTGGACTGAAACCCATTCGAGTGGACTTCCACGCTCTGCCGGAATGGAGTTAATGCGTGCATTTCAGACGGTCTGCTGCGGCGAGTGAGCGATCTTGCCGAGCGGGGAGCAGCAAACATGCAGCGGGTTCTGCAGAGGAGGCGAGTGCGCAAGCTGCGGGTCGTCTGGGCTTCCCTGGCCATGGTGGCTCTGTCTCTGGCCGCCTGCAGCGCGCTGTTCACGGCGTGGACTTGGCGACAGACGCGGGACCTGTCCCAGTCCTTCCAGATCCTGCAGGACCGACTCGAGCAGGTTCGGTTGTCTCACTTTTTGAAAGTAAACCAGGCAGTGCACGCGGTGCATGCAGGCGTTTGCGCTTTTGCAGAGCGATGGGCTGCAACTTTGACAGGCATTTTTCACGGGTTGTGTAAGATTTGTCTTGGGACTTTGGCTAATCAAACACTTAACTCCAGTGCCTTCCTGCTCTGATGCTGATTTGTGTCTGATTTGATCGTGTAGCGCTTCCCAGAGTTGGATTAAACTCTGCAACACACAAATAACAGAAGTCAGGTATATGAATGCATGTGCTTCCTTTGCTTCACCTCGACCGAGTTAAAATTCTTTGAATGCAAAAGGCGACGTCATAAAATGCAAAGCAATTCACACACAAAATGTGGGTTGGAGGGTCGGGGAGGACTGATGACTTGTCCAGCTGGAAGTCATCGACACCCTCACGAAGCAGGGAAAGGGAGCCGAGGTCATTGCTGACAAACAAAACAAAAACAACGACCAAAACTGGCAGCTGGGAAGTTTAGTGGAAGGACAAAGTGCGACACGTGGGATAGTCGCACCTTTCAGAGAGGATCGCGAGCCAAATTCCAATGGGGGTAGACTCGCCGAATGTGGAGTAGTCTATCCAAGAATATCATTGGAAAGTTGAGTGGAAGGAAAAAGTTGTCATAGGACTGCAGCCTGGAGAGGATTGTCTCAATCAAACCGGTGACTGTGAAGGGTTTGGACGCTGTTCCAGGGTTAAGGACAGCGTCCAAGGTGTCTTACTTTGGCTAGGAAAAAAAAAGCTCTTTTCAGATTCCAGCCAATTTCGCTTTTCATCTTGAAATCTAGATCCGAAAGTCTGGAAGAAGAGAAAGGGACAATGTGACTAATATAATAATAATAATAATAATAATAATAATAATAATAATAATAATAATAATAATAATAATAATAACATATTTGATCTGATATTCTCATGAAGGTGCACCTGCATTACGCACAAATCCCAGAACATGCAGTTGCAGTGGTGACCGGATTAGATCCAGTTTCCATCCAGAAAGCAAAGCAGAGTTAATGCAGAATCTTTGCTCATTTTCTTAAATTTTTTGTTTCTTTTTATTTATTTCACCCCCCTTTTTCTCTCACCCCCCCACCGACTTGTTTAATCGCCCTGGTGCCAGTTGCGCTCTAGTTTTATCTCAATTTACTGGAAAGCCTCAGCGACTTGGCAAGTGAGCAGAGATGCCGCCGCGGACTGACTGGCTGCTGCAGGCGCAGCAAGTGTAAATCATCCGCAGCCCGCGTCGCGCAGCGTGGGGTCAGCGTGAGCCGATATTTGAGGTACACTTGCAGAAACAGCAGTAAATATTTTTATTTTAACTTTGCTTTTTTTTTTCTTTTTCGCTCTCTTTGTTGTGTGCAACACAATTTATTGGCGAAGAGGCGAGCCAGAACCGGAGCCGATGATAAATTCTTCTGGTTTCGAGTTCAGAGCTTTTACAAAACCGCTGGATTTCATATCGGCGGGAGGGGGGAGGGGGTGAAATTCACTATGTTGCATGTTTACTAAACCTGCACACGCACGCGCACGCACGCAGATTGGACACGTGGAGCGTTGATGCTGGAGCCCTTCCCCATGGGGCCCCATTCGGTCCGTTAGACTGTTTGCCAACTCCAGATGAGAGCCAGCCAGCGAGCGAGCGTCTGGAGAGAGAAGTGTGACTCTCTGCCTCCATTTCAACAGTAGCAGTAAATTTAAACACTCGTTTCTACCCCCCCTCTTCCCCCCTCTGTGCAGCAGCTCCTCGACGTCTCTGCTGTGGGGGCCTCTCCTCCGAGGCTCCAGCGGGGGGCCTCGGTCGAGGATTTAGAAAGTCTGCTGGCTTGCAAATCGTTTTCTTCCAGACATTTGAGGAATTTAAAGGAGTGAAAACACGCGTTAGGTGTCGCAATCGTTCCTCGAGGAAGTGGGCGCTCCAAAGCAAAGATGGCAAGAGCCGAGGCATTTCTCTGGCAGGGACGTGCTCTTAAAGGGCCAGTTCGGGATTTTGAACGTGCGGTTCTGTTATGAGACTGGAAGCGGTCCGCGTTTTGACCTGCGCTCTCGCTGTCTTCTTATGGCACGTTGGCCAAACTCATGTCGACACAAATAATCGTATTTGACAGAACTTGAACTAGGCCTTGAGATCATAAAAGGGGGTTAAATATGAAGAAGTTTAATGCATTTTAAAAATGATTGATACTGAATTTGTGGGGGCTGGGAGAGACGTCTGTGCTTCTATTGGGCCTAAGTTTCTAATGTGAAACCGAAGCGAACTAACAGAATACTAAAACAACTCCAGTTTTAAAAAAAAAAGACTACATATCTGGTTGTTTACACTGCTGGGCCATTAACACTAATAATGCAAAATTTAACACACCACTGGCTGGTTTGTTGGGAGTCAGTCATTTTTCCTTGGTGCTGATTGGCTCCACCGTCGCCAGTGGAGCCAATCAGTGGATTGTGTGCTTGTTACAAGTTGGACGCCTGGTTGCAGCTACTGTTAGCGCATTAAAAGACTAAACAATTATACATATTGTATGACTGCATATCTCCACCAAAACTCAGAAGTGTTAATAAATACTTTATTATATATGTTTTTGTTTTTGTTTATGTAAAGATGCTAAATTGAGTCTTCAGGATACCAAGTTTGTATGATAGAAAATCAGACTACAAACAAAACCCACCACTGCTGTCTAACAACAACAACAAAAAAAAAGTTTGGGAAACAATATTCATGGCAGTTTAAATTAACTCTACTCCGTGACTTTTGTAATGTTTGTAACTGGAAAACCTCTCTGAAAGGAGGGAAACATCTGCTTCTTTTCTCAGCACGTGTTTCACGCAGGAAGATCATTGGCGGCGCACCGCCTCCTACCGCCATTTCCTGCATGACAATTTTGAGACCGAAAAACTTCGAGGCATTTAAAGTCCACTTTGGCGAGCCCGGCTCCAAATCTGGAGTATTAATGCTGAATATTAACCCAGATTAAGGCCTTCACAGACTAATTGGAGATTTTTTTAATTGCGCTCTTTCTCTGTTTTTGTTTCTTCTTTTTTGGACAGGTCAACACGCAGAGGAAGGCGATTGTTCAGCTCATTCTGGAGAAGCGAGAGCTGCTGCTGGAGCGAGTGAAGCGAGACGGTAACACAAACCTGCCAGAGCTGCTTTGTCTCAACTTGGGCGCCCTCCTCCCCCAACTGCAGCTTTTCAGTCGCTCCGATCGCCACAGACAGACACAACACACACATACCAGGCGAACTCGCTTGTTTTTTTAGGAAGAGCATTTAACACAAACGCTGGCCAGCCTGGACCCACATGCCACTTTGGTCAGGCCCTGCAGGCCGCATGAGCTACCGCTGCTAAAAGTTGACACAGGAAGAAGTAGGCAGCTGGATTACCCTCTCAGAAATTACAGGTCTGACCGGAGCGGTCTCGAAGCCCAGAAAACCAGCTGGCGAGGGGTGAGAGGGGCGGAGGGTGGAGAGAGAGAGGTCTCGCTGCACGCTTTTGGTTCAGTGAAATAGATTTCGCTCCCTCCCCTCCCCACCTTCTCCTCGAGCAGACGTCCAACGCAGCTACGATTTTGTTGTGAAAGCGATGATATTTGATGAGCTTTCATTGCTGTATTTATAGCATCTGCTTGCATCACCATCATGGGACTGCTGCTGTTTCTGTCCGAGAGTAAACTGTAGGTCTTTTTTTTTTTTTTTTTTTTCTTTTTTTGGGGGGGGATTCTCTATCCAAATGTGACAAAACATTATTTGAAGAACAGCGTGTCCAGCTCAAATTTACCCTATGCGTGAGATGCTAGAGGTACCGTGCAGAATTTCATGGATATCAATAGAGAGGGGGGGGGGGGGGGGGGGGGAATATGCCCAAACAGCTTTTTCCAGTTTATGGAAACTTGACCGCAGCCGTCCAGCTTTTTTGGAAAGACACTGCTGTAATGTTCTTTCCTTGTGACTGACAGCGCGAGTCAGGAAAGCCTGGCCACCCTGAGGGCTTTACGCTCGGCTCCCCCCCCTTTCGCAAAAAATCCTAAAATCTTTCAGGGTCGCCCACCTGAGAGTTACTTTAGCAATGGGTTGTAGTATTTCTGAATAATGGCAGCAGTCAGGTGGGCTGGCTGCTCCCTCCTGAAACATAAACTACGTCTTCCAAACACCGTTCAGGTTGTATCGGTGTTTGAAATCCCCTCAGGCTGAAATAAACCTTCGCTGAGCAGCGAGAAGCAAGGCTCCTCAGCTGCGTTGTTGCTTTATTTGTCATATTTGTCTGGAGAGGCGGCCGCTAGCTGTTGCTAAACTCTGTTCTTAATCTACTGTTTTGGGTCACAGAGCAGCCAAAGACCTTTTCGACTCTCTTTTTCCAGTGCTTCATTTTTCTCATTTAGCCTCCGAGCCCCTTAGCTGCGCCTCTGAATGCCTGTCTTAAATGCTTTCTTATTCACTTTTCCACTGTCCATCTTGTTTTTATTGCCTCCCCCCTTCACGCTCCCTCCAGACACACAAACCCCACCGTCCTCCATCCTTTCTCTCTGGTCTCTATCTTTCGAGATGACTGCGACCAGCTGGCACTAAAATTAGCCCACAGCGGGCCTAGAAGGAAAATAAAAAGAGACATGCACTTTTCTGACTTACAATAACAGTTTGAGGAAATATATTGAAAGACGTGAAAGGGAAGCCCATCTGCTAACCGCGTTAAAAAACCGGCCGGGCCGAATATAAGCTGCACCAAATTAACCCACCGTATTATTAGCGCGATGCAGATGGTAGTGATTGTTTTATCAAAGGAAGAAAGGAAGAAAAAAAAACAAAAAGAAAAAAAAAAAGTCAGCCGAAGTAATTTTCTGATTTGAAACTCACATTCTGCCTGTCTCTGTGTCTGAAGGGGGCTCGGTGCAAGGGAGAAAAGGGAATGGAAGGAAAGCGGCGTCTCATTTTGAGAGTAAGTGGCTTGGCAGATCCCCTCTTACGGTCTCGTGTAGCATCTGCTGAAGTGGTTTCGAATCAAATACCCCTATACGGTTGCACTCGTAAAATCTTAATTGACTTTCCCTTTTTTTCTGTCTCCATCATTGTCTCCGAACTTTCCACCAGTAACCAAGCTCTCCTCTCAGCAAGGTACGAGTCCTTGAGATGTTTTCATTTTTTTTTTTAAATAAAATGTTTCTTAACACTTTGCGAGCGAGCAAAAGAAAGGGCACTGAGATTTGTGTTGCTTTCAGTCGGAGAAAGGGGCGTGATAAGAGGCTGGGAGGAGAGGACGCTCAATATGAGTAAAGCGGTGAGGTACAACCAGGAGGAAGGCACCTTCACGGTGGAGAGAGCCGGCGTCTACTTCCTGTTCTGTCAGGTGAGCTTCACAAAGTCCGCGAACCTTAAATATTTCATTTGAAACGGTACCAATACCTCTTGACGCCTCAACGTCTCAGCATTCCTTAGGTGACTACCAAACTTGAAAAAGAGTAAGCATTTGTAATAATTGAGCAGAGAAACATATTTTGGAGCCTTTCTGTCTGAGTGAAGCTCAACTTCTCACTTGTGACCAATTTATGGTTATTAACATTGATTTTGTGTCCAGTTTGAACAGTAAACTCGTTGGAAAGGCTGTGAACGGGACACTAAAAGTGTATCTAATTGCTTCTATTGTACACTCAAAGAAACCATAATTTAGAGTGTTTTGGCGAATTACGGTTGGTAAAAAGGAAAAGCATGCAAGAGCTCAAACTCTGGTTAAAATGCAATTTAATTGTTTAGCTTTTTTTTCCGTTTGTTCTTTATTTTGGACCAGATCTGCAGCAGAGTATCAGTAGGTTTCCGAGCATTTCTTTGAATCTGTTGATCGTTAAAGTTGGTACAAGACGTCCCCAAGGCAGGTACGGAGTTATGCAGGGTTGGTACAAAATGTTCAGTGGCAGACAACTACTGTCTTTACCCCCAAAAAATAGCCACGAAAAGACCCAACATTCGGTCGTGTGAAACGGCGCACGGATAAAGTCGTATGATGCCCCTCTAATCAGGATATAAACTAGCTAAAGTTTGTGAATTCACAACACAATTGAACTTTAGAATATCCAAACTAGAGCTGCATTATGCCTCAAGTCACAAATGTTATCAAAATATAGCCTTTGCAAAAGACTATCTGGACTCGGTGGTTGTGTTTTATGGATTAATGCAGACTGATTTAAAAAACTGGCCGGTTGGATTGGCTTTAACTGTCCTTATAGGCTGCACCCGATCTATGTACGCAGTGGTTAAGTTAGCTGAATGTGCTATAATTAAAAAAAAAAGAGAAGAGTTATGGAATTGTGGCTTCATTGTAATTAAAATCAGCTCCGAAGTTCAATAAGGTCAACATAACCACCTAACCCTAACCTTAACCCTAAATCATTACAAGTTGTATCAAATCTGCCAAAACTCAGTAAGAAAAGACACTTCAATCCAAAAACAGACGCTAAATCTACAGGTAAATGATTACTGACCACAGATATAAATGTACTTTTTTTTTTTTTTTGTATTGAGAATCATCATGCTAACTTTGCTAATAGCACGTTTTTGTAGACGACAAGAGGCACCCAAAAAAACAAACATGAAAGTGTATTCAGAGGAGATTCTGAATTTTAATGAGAAAAAATGCTGATTTTCTCATTAAATATTTTTAAAGCTTCAACCGCATGGAACAGAAATTAAGAGCTGCTGTCAGCATGCTAATAGCCGGGTTAGAAGGATTTTGATTGCCTTTCGGAAAGATTAAAACCAGAAAAACAGAGATAAAAAGTAACATGCTCTTATTGTGGTTATACTTAACTGCCTAGTAGTGAAAGAGTCGTTCAAACTTCTATATGTCTGTTTCCTTTCTTTGGTTTCTTTTGATGCGAGAGAGAAGACGTATGGATTGAATCCCTGCCAAGAGCAGGCTCCTGACAGAATGCACAGCTACAATCAGCATCAGATTTCTGTGTCGTTGGTAAAGACACTGACCTTCAGTGTTTACAGTGAAGGGTGCAGCAAAGCAGAAACAGTCAGAGATAAGGGTCTGTCCTGGCAGGGAAATGGTTCAGATCTTGCCAACATTAAGCTATTCTTGATCTTCCGTCTTTAATTTTAATACCGACGTTCACTCTGGAACAAAACGTTTCTAATCACGCTTAATGAAGCTGTCGGGTGTTTTGACAAGTTATGAACATTCAGTGGTGGTTCATCATCAACACTAAAGGAATTCTCAAAAAGGTTAGTTTGAACAACCCCTCATCGGTCAAGAGTTCAGGATAATGTACTTCATTTTGTTTAAAGTTATGACTTAAACATTTACAAAAATCTCAATAAAAAAAATATATTCAAAAGCTTGAAATTTGCGTGTTGTGATTAATATTCCTGATTATTCGCAGAACTATCTCTTCGTATTTCCGCAGAACTCTGTTGCTAATGCACCCGTCGTCTTTCCGCCCTCCTCAGGTGTTGTTCAACGAACAGCAGTCTCAATACGTGAAGCTGGACGTGGTGACCAACGGGCCCCGGCCCCAGAAGCTGCAGTGCATGGAGGGCTACGGGACCACGCCCTCCGCGGGGCCGCACCCCTTCCACTTCGTGAAGCCCTGCCAGGTGTCCGGCCTCCTGCGGCTGGAGAGGGGCACAGAACTCCAGGCCAAGACGGGCCCGTCCTTCAGCCTCCACCCGGTGGCCAATCACGTCTTTAGCATCTTCAAAGTCAACTGAGGATCGCCGCTCGTCTGATCTGAGTCGCAAACTATTCACGTGTAACGCAAATCCAGCAGGACTCCTGCAGAATGTAATTCTTTGCATTGAAAAAAATGGATAATATAATTTTTTTTTCTCCTACAAGGCCAAACAAAAGGCTTCAGCTACTTCCCACATGTGCTCACATGAGACAAAGCGGACATTTGTGGAAGCTGTAGAGGATTTTTCTTTTTTGTTTTTCTTCCTCTGGACTGCAGCCTGTTTTGGAATTCAGTTTTGGATTAAAACCAAGACCTACAGTGAACACAAAAAAAAAAACAACAAAAAAAAACCTTGATGAACTTCTGCCGAGAGAACAGATGTGACGGAGGCCGGTCTGTGGATTAAAGAGCTTCACAGAATAAGAAAATTCCTTTGGAGGTCCATCTTAGCCCCCGTATAACGCGATAAAGTGCGCCTGAACTCTCACTAAGCTCACATTAAAGATGTGCACCTTCCACAGATGAGAGCACATCTGCGAGAGTCTGACTCTATAAACGCTTTCTCCAGTTGGCATTGACTGTTTAAATAATGCTGCCTTTGTGTGAATGAACCCTGATGAATCAAAAACTTTGTGCTGATTTTATGATCTCGTCGATCCGAGGCGTCTGTGTGAAGTTGATCTTTTTTTTTTTTTTTCAAATTCAAATGTTTTGTATATAAGTCATTTATTTTGCAGAACGTGCATGAAGTCCTGAGTTGGCAGAGAAAAGGGGGAACATTTTTGGAATAACGCGGATGTGAATTTCTTCTACTTCTTGTTTTCTTTTTTTTCTATGGAGAAATGATTGTATAGTTTAAAAGTCAAGGTTCAAATCATTGCAAGCAAAGCACACCGCTGTATATTCTGCTTTATCTGCTTTTTTTGTGTGTTCAGGGTGTTCCTCCTCTGTTTGATGATGCAATGGCTATTACTCATACACTTTTTGTAACTTTTTATAAGCCAAAGCAGCGCTAAAAAAGGCTGATTCAAGTGATGCAACTATGCAAGAGTCAAAATGTGTTCTGGCATTGAATTTCAGCACAAGTAGCTGTAAGAACTCTGTTGGCGGTTCCGTACAGATTCTCGAGTGTAGCCATTGAAATGTCAGGATTTCTCGCAAACGAAAACTATTTCGTTGCCATTTCAGATTTGCATAATTATATTTTTTGTTAAACACAATGAAGGGCTCACACAAGCGTAGATCAAGACGCTTTCACTACAGTAGTTGGACACTATTGCATTTTTTCTTTATTAGCTTAAGAGTAACACTTAATTATCTTAATATCTGTATTTAAATGTAAGACTTCACTGACTATCGTATTGATCATTTATGTCACAGATTCCTCCCATAAACTTCTCTTTGTTTGTATGGGCTGATATGCAGCAGCCTGACATCAGTCCATGAGGTTTGTAAAGTTTATAGAGAACTAAAAGCACAGATTTTCATTTTCTAGCTTGCTAACTCATTGCAGAATAGCTCCAAATGTTAGCAATAGCACGGTGTTGGCACAATCAGAAGCTATTTCAAGCTTTATGTCATGGGGTCAGTGGTGGTTTTTGGTATTTTTTGCCCAGTGCGGCATAGCACAAGGGAAATAGTTGCATACTGATGGTTGTGTTTCCATGGAGCAGAAGGCTGGACGCAGAACCCAGATATGAACCCTGCAGCGCAACAAGGCCTTCAGACTTCTCAGACCTTTTCTGTTTTCTTCTACAATGAACAGCAAATTGAGATTCACTTATTCTATATTTCAGATACGACACGTCATCAAAAGTCGTTCTGTTTCATAAATGGGCTCGATAAGGAGAGCGAGTTTGTCTTTGGGTGCGTGTGGATCATCAGAAGGAGGGAATCAACCAGGCTCCCAATCATCCTAGAACCTCCACTGACTTGGAAAGTGAAAAAAAAAAAAAAAATGACTGAATGTTGTCTTCTTTGTGTAACTTAAGTTATGATCAGCTGTAATAAAGTTAGTGTTTATGTCTAACTAAACAAAAATAACTAAAATTCTACTTTTGTGGTTTTGAAAAAAAAAAGGATAGTTCTGGCAAAAATGACAAAACTGAACCTTGAATGCGAGGTTTCATATTTTTACCATTGAGCAAAAATCATTCAAATATCTTCCTGCCTTAACCAGATCGCTTTTCTGTTACTTTTGAAAATATATATTTTAGTAAATGGAACTTCCTCCTGTGTCTCCTAAGCTGCGGCTTTGTGTAATATTCCCTGTTATATTTCAGGGTGTATTTCTAGCATTGGGATTCAGCACTCCCACTCTTGTTTATAAGGAGTTTTGTGGCCGGACCGCATTGGTTTCTCCTCAGCACTTTACGGCAGCGATTGTTGTGTTCCTAATTGGACTCAAACGTTGATGTTTTCAAATGGAATTTTTTTTTTAAATTTAGACAATAAATCCCTTGTACTTCCTCTTTCCTTTCCTTTTTTTTTTTTTTGTCATCTGTGTAACCCCCGCCTCCGCCCACACCCTCTCTACGTCCATGTGGACATCACATTTCCCTGTCAGCATTCATCATAACACACGCACACACAGCAATGGTGATCTAAATTTTCACTTCCTACATCTGAATCTGAACCACGTAATTGAGGAAAAACATGCCTCGTCCCTCCCCCATCACCACACACAGTTTAACACACATCCCTGCCTAGAATAATTTGTTAAGGTTTTTTTTTTCTTTTTCATTTAACACCCCTGAATGTCTTGTGATCAGATTTGTAAAAATAAATGATGGATGCATACCCTGTCTGAGCTCATTCCTTGAGAATGTCGAAGAAACATTCCTTACTGTTCTTTTCTTCACCTGAAAATTAAGAAAAAGAAAAAAAGAAAATCAGGGTCAGATTTTTCACCTGAAAGAACTCAACTTCGAAAGACGAGAAGACAATTTTTGTCCATGATGATTTAAGACACTTCAAAACTTTTAGTAATTAAGGCCACAACGAAGTATTTTAAAACTTGTATGACATTTAACTTGAAAAACAACTTCCTTAGAAGGCAGTATGTTGCATAACTCATGAAACGTTGCTAAATCACCTTTTGTTTCAATTTCAGCATACAATCTTATTTGGCTGGAGTCTGTCAAAGTCAGACATTTTTACTACGCGAAATTGACCCACTCTGTCCGAAAGTCTCCAAAATTTCTATCAATTAGAGATTTCTTTTGATTTGGATATATTGGTTTGGAGCGTTTTAACAATAATTTTAATAAAGTATTGCAAAACAGAACAACGTGAAACCACTTTGAGCTGAGAAACTGTAAAACTGTAAAAGTTATTAAAATAGTTTCAAAATTAGAAAATAGTGAAGTTTATGTTGCTCGTCAGTAACTCAAATGTGTTCTCAAGAACAAATTGCTTTTGTGTCAATAAAAGCCAGTACACTGAAGAAAACTGAGAAAATGAAGTAAAGTTTGATGAACCGTGAGCCATAGTTTTTATTTTAAGATGGCTGAAATTGGCCTTTAAAGTAGTTACACTCTAACTAGCTGTTAGCTTGATTCTCAGCTGAAAACAACTCTGTGTTTTTAAGATGCTGGTGATAAAAACTGAACATAATTTTACATAAAAAAAAGTATGATTCCTTCGATATAGTCAAATCTAAATGTTCACATCTCATCTGATTAGTAGTTATAGTGAGCAAGCTAGCAGTAGCTTGCTGGCTAAGCTATCCTTCCTAGCTTAGCCAGGATAAGCTAGCAAGAGATGAATCGACAAATTTAAAAAAAAAACACACACGTGGGTATTTCCATCATTTCTTTCAGTTTTATTACAAACAAAAAAAGAGAAAATAAGGAGAAGTGTCATTATTGACGTGTTTTTACTTCCACTCGTCAAGTTCATCGACACCACCACATACACAGTGACACAAGATACCCAGAAATCAACCAAAAATCCTGGAACGAGGACAAAATAAGAGTGGACAAAGCAACAATTTGTTGTTCTTGACTCAACATCTTAGTTTGGGGGTTGTTGAATATTAGTTTTAAAGTAACAGACATTTGTATGAATCCTGGGGAAAGGTCAATGAGCTACATTGTTTTTAGAGCTATGCCATCTTTTCAGTGAAACAGAAGATACTGGAATTTACAGGTTGACATCAGTTTCTAAATGTATTTCACTGACTTTACATGTGTTCAGCTATGTTTATTAAGGCGCTTTTAAATGACGCGATATATAAAAGTCCCCTCTCTGATTCTCTGGATAACGCTCGAGCACTTTTAGTAGAGCTGAAATGGACTAAGACCTTGGTAGAAGCATTGGGGGTTACATATGACCTAATTTCTACAGACGTACATAATTAAGCCCCAAAACTAAAAGGGAAAGTTTGCTTCCTTCGTATTACATACGCACTTCTGAAGTTAGCTCAACTTCTTCGTTTGTGTTCTCTTGCAACGATGGGACGAACATGACGAACTGTGTACTGTGTGGCACGCGTACTGCTGTGTGTGTGTGTGTGGGGGGGTTTTGTTTGTTTTTTTTACGTTTTATAGTTACAAAGATATGTCTCTTTTGGTAGAAGCTCTCTCTTGAATAGCAACGGCGAGAACAACAGCAACATCAACAACAACAATGCTTGTAACTGGGAGAGTAAAAATACAGAACACGAATGAGCTGCTTAAATATGCAAAGTATATCACAGGATTTTGCAGAAGGAAACATAATAATAATAATAAAAAAAGGAGACAAAAAAAGTTCTTGATTTGAAGCGCTGGTAAGTAAAAGAAAGAGCAGTGCAGAGGGTTGTCGATAGGTTTCAATAACACTGATTCGTTTATGAAAGGTTATAAACATTCGTAAGGGAATCCTAAAAATAGCAACATTTCGAGGCCTTTTGTAAAACGAACCCCCTTCAAAATTCCTCGAAGCTCTGTACATAAACCCAAACCAGGAAAAGCAGATAAAAGATGCTGGAAAATACTTTATGGTCAAACAAGTCCTGAATATATTTATATCATACTTTTGCACATGAGTTTTATCTGAACACGTACCGTTACAAAAACAACCAAAAAAAAAAAAAAAAAGAAAAAAAAGAGCAAAATAAAGGTAAATGAAAAAAATGAATAGCTGGAGCTGTGCTTGGAGCTGCTTAAACTCAGACACCGGAGAATCAGCCTCTCTCTGAGCATTAGAAATAGTATTAAAACGAGTTTAGGCACAGCTTGATAACATTTTTCCTTTCTTTCTGATTCCACATGACAGCGTTGTTGTGATAAGAGCATGCTTCAGGGGATGGAGCGCCATGGGAGAAATGAGTATAGTTTCACATGCAACTTTCTGAGAGAATCTTAGGAAGAGGAGGAAGGGGATTTGAACTACTGACAGATCTAGGAGGTTTCTGGGTAAGGTTGGGTTTAGTGTTTCGTTATGTTTGTGTGCATGTGTGTGTGTGTGTGGATAGGTGAGGTCTGAAGCACCTCAAGGAGGAGGAGGCCCACTTGAGGAGGCCGTTGTTGAGGAGTATAATGGTTTGAGGCAGTTGTAAAATGGTCACAAAAAGTTGGAGGCAGGCTGGACTGTCTGCGACGATGAGAGTGCTGCTATGTGTGCGGCTGAAGTTATGTTTGTTTCAAACGAAGCAATTACAATCACTATTGTTTGGGTACATTTGCCTTCAGACAGTCAGTTAGTTAGTTGTAATACTGCGAGCGCGGTTCAGTGGTGCTGTTTTCTCCTGCGGAAAAAAAACAAAACAAAAAACATTCCTCTGCAGAGGAGTAATCGAAGGTGTCTTTCTAGCAGGAAATGGGTTTCAGGTGTGCAAGCGCGAGTGTGCGTGTGTGTCGTCTAGTCGTCGATACAGATGACCTCTCCGCTGCGCTGCTCCCGTCGGTTCACCAGCAGTTCTGCTTCCCGTTCCTTCTTTACAGACATGGGAGGCCCGTTCAAGACTGCAGGGGGGGAAACAGAAACACAAGCTCGGGTCAGCCGGTTCAGTACGTCTTTGCTTTCTGTCCTTCCACAGACGGAGCACCAAAAGAAAAAAGAAAAATCCATCAGATCAGATGAAGGCCAGCACTGTTTCTTGAATTACTAGACCAGAAGTCATATGTATATTTTCATATATATTATCAATGTGTGTTATTCTTTAAAAGGCATCACTGAGAGACTCGGCAAAGTCCAGCTTTATAACACACTTATAAAGCTGGTGTTTGTAGCCAAAGATTTTGTTTTAATCAAGCAACAGGGATGTTTTATTTCAGTCGCGCTCTTGTCAACCTAAAAGACGACAAGAGTGCTGATTTAATTAAGCTTTTTTGTGATCAATGTCATTTTCACGCACATTTTTCAACAATGCCCTGATTCCGTAATGACCCAGATTTAATGGAAATGACCATTTCGTGACAACCAAAGTTGTTGATTGTCATGAATCCGTCCATCACATGAATCATCAATTTGTCTCCTTCCAGACATGAAGGAGACAAATTGCTTTTGTTCAAAGTGAGTGGCTGAATGGGGAAGATGGAGGATTCGAGTGACTTTGAATGTTTATGTTGGAGCCAGAAGGAATCGTCTCACTATTTTAGAAACTGACGATCTACTGGGATTTTCATGAATAACCATTTTCAGGTTCATAGAGAATGATCCAAAGAAAGAGAAAATATCTAGCGAATGGTGAGTTGTTAGGATGGAAAGCCCTTGTTGTTTGGCCATGAAGGACTGAACTACATACAGGGAGCAAAAAAGACTAGTATAAAAACTGTTCATCCCAGAATGCACTGCATTAACCCTCTAGTTTCTAGGAAGAAGACCAGGAGCGTCACAGCGTGATCACATGGCCTGGTTAACAAAACCGGCCTCCATGTCCTCTTCCTGTCCATTTGTCCAATAGTCTACCAGAGCTACACTGGGGAAAGCACATTTCCCCATCTTTCGTCTTTGTATAAACTGGATCCAAAGTAAATATTCAGTCTACCATTTGGGTAACTGGATGAGGAATAAGCATTGACTCTGGCTTATTTGAAGTTCTGTGAAAGGGATTTTTGACTTAAAGACACTGTTTCTGATCCTGTCACTGAACCGATGCAGCTACCATTATCCTGAGATGAATCACAGCTCTACACATAATACCCACTTGTACCAGTCAAGCTGACGCTAACCCAACTGCAAGTATTATTCACCCCCTTGGACATTTTACCCTTTTTATTGCTGTTGTAAACCTGTATTGATCAACAAAATTTTGTTTTTCTGGTAAAAGTTAAAACTGATATAAAACCGTTCTCTACAGAACCGTCACAATTAGATAAAAACATTCAGTATAAAATTATCCAGCGGCTCACTCAGTTTAAGTGACTAACTTAATTCAGCAGAGGTCCATCTAGTTGGTGCTAGTAGTCTCACAATGAGAGGATGGAGATCACCAGAGTGCAGTGACAGTGTCTCCGGTGGTCGTAATGTAAAGACACCTGCGTCTGGAACGTCCATTCACTGGTTAATCAGGATTCCTGGCTACCACTACGGCATGAAGACAAAAAGAACACTAAGATCCCCATAAGTCACGGGACGGATACAAAAACATCTTCAAGGCCCTGAACATCCCCTGGAGTTCACTTAAATCCATCACCAAGAAGTGAAAGGAGCATGGCCCATGTCTAAATCTGTCTAGATCAGGGCGTCCTCACACACTGAGTGACAATGTAAGAAGGAGACTTACGAAAGAGGACGCCATGACACCTCTGCTACGCTGAAGGAGTTACAAGGTGGAAAGACTCTGAATACAACAACTACTGAACTGTTTGGGTTCTTCACCGGTCAAGGCTTTATGGGAGAGCGGCGATGAGAAAGATACTGCTGAAGAAAATTTATATCATGGCTCGATTGGTTTAAAAGAAAAAAAAAGGCATTTGAGTGTAAAATTTTGGATAAAAGACATAAAAATGTTATTTTATCAAAGCAATAAAATTGGTAAAACAGCAAAGGGGTGAATACTTATAGAGCCACTGCAAACATAACATTCATATTGAGTAAGACCACGGCTAAAAGGACAAACAAAAAAAGCCTCACACTCGCTCAAAAGTATCAACAATTTAAGTTTCCTAAGTTGGGGGAACTTGAGGCTTAGCTTGACAATGAATGTCTTATTTAAATGTCTGAACTATTGGGAGCATAGGAGAAGGAATACATTTAAACCAGTGTGCTTGTTTTCTATTTTCAAAAATAAAAATCAGCAAATCAGCCTTAATCACTGAAGAAAAAAAACAGCAATCTGTTCCGAGATGTTTATCCGGGCGAACAAAAACATTTGTAGTTGAGCAAGATGCAAATATTGCATTTTGAAGAACATGGCTTGTGGTAAATGTGGCCCGAGCTGGAAGCACTTTTCAACAATCTCCGTCTTCGCTGTGTTTACAGATTTTAACTCTACCGAGACATTATGTTTGAAAATATGACAATAAGTGCACTTAAACATGGTAATCACATGGCTTTTGCAACAACAAGCAGCATTCCAAGGGTACATTACTATGGTTTTTATTCAGAAAACTTGCATATTACAGTACATCAATAATATATACAGTATCATGATTCATGTTTGCAATAAGGGCAAAACCGAGAAAGGCGTAACTGTTGACTGAAAGAAAGCGAGGCCAGCAATGAGTAAACATCTTTGTTTTCTGCGCAGGCACATAAGGATACTGAAACACACAGATGAAAACTAACACCTTTCTGCATGACACACACCTGACCAGCATAGGGTCTGCGGTTCCCACACTGGTGGGTTTTCATAAAAACGTTCTGAAGGCCTTTTTAGAGCTCGTTTCAAAACAAAAAGCCAGGAATAGACCAGCGCAGGACGACTTTCACTTGCACCACGGGGAAAGATAAACAGTCGTAACACTGGCTTGCTGATCAAAGATGCGATAAGCTGCGTATTGGGCTGATGATGTTGGAGGGAAGAAAAAAAAGGTGAAACTGTGAGAGGGGAGCAGTTATGGGAAAACGTACTGGCATTTTTCCAGCAGAGGCCAAAAGAGGAGACAGAGAGAAATATCTGTGTGTGAGAGTATGGTAGGAGCGGGCAAAATCTGATAAGAGACTAAAAAAAAATCAAGGTAAAGACTGGGAAAATAACAAGGGGCGCACAAAAGGAAAAATCGCTTTAGAGCCAGAGATGTGGAACAAAGAGACAATAAAAATGTAGAACAAAGAGGAAAAACTGATACTTAACTGAAAACAGATCAGTCAAGAAATCAGGAACGCTCAAAAAGCGATTAAGATTGTCTATCCACAGAAGGATTTCAGACAGATAATAAAATTGTTCTATCTTAACATTGTTAAAATAGAAGTCAACGGTATAATTTATCACTAAAAGCGCCGGTATATATTTAGATAGGTAAGAACTTTGTGGTTAGGACTCAAAAAACAGTATTCAAGAGGTAGCGTACAACTGGAAAAAAACAGAAGGGGACCAAGGACTGATGCCTGTGGCACACCACAACTCATTTGAACCACTAGGCTTCTTGTTTTAGGGTGAGAACAATCATTCCTGTTACAGTGTATGAGAGCAAACGATCAGTAATACCAACACAGGACTTTAGATGAAGGCAGAGCATAATCTGATTAAATAATCTCAAATACAAAGTGCCAAAATTAGCTCTCAATGACTTAGTCGCGAGACAAAAATTGTGTCAACCTCCCCCTTCTGGACATCGGGCAAAGACCAAGCTACTTCGCTCATGACTTTGTGCGATGTGTTGTGATTGGGCAGAAGGCTGTGGGCATGTTTTATTCAGAAATGTTCTCGCTTCCACTAGCCAGTTTTTGTATCTGAGGAGTGTTTATTAGAGGATTGTTTATTATTAGGAGTATTTATGCTGATGGAATTACCTACATTTGTAATATTCTTTACAAAATACTTACAAATGGCTATCTACTTATACTGAAGCAGGCGGGGCGTCTCTGTGTGTGAAAGATGTGTATAAATACAGAAGCACAATGGGTGCACAAAACCCCAGTTTTGTCATTGTCATGGTCGCCATACTCAGGTCACCAAACGCAAACAAGTTATGAAAATGAAACAAAGCAGATTCCCCTTGTGACTTCAAGGTATACAACTGCTGTTTGGTTAATATTAGCATGGTCCTCCTGTATTTTAGCTTTCTTGTAGCAGCAGGTTATTGTTTTCTTACCCCAAATTAAGTTGGCAGTGAGAGTGAAGGTAAGACAAACCCAACATTAAAAAAGAGAACACATCTCTAAGAGCTTTTAAACTCCAAGCACAGCCATTAGTCAATTCTCAAAGACCCGAAACTCTAAACTACTTTTGATGTATCATCTAAAGTTCAAAACAGCTATTAAAAAAAAAAGAAGCCTGGCCAAAGTCTTGGTGCGTCTCTCCCCTGTTGATCCTGCAAATTATCTGATCGAGGGAATGCTGCCTTCTTGACAGGAAATGCACTATATTTACTTCAATAAAGCCTTGCAAGAGTGCATCTGAGGCAAAACCTTTAATCAGGAACAAACATATATCTTGAAAATGTCAACCTATCAGCTATTTTAAAGCACTCTGTTGCTGGTTTCAGAAAGAATGTCCAACAGAAAAGAAAAAGCACATCAACAAATCCTCGGCTAGAAACAGCTTAGCATTTTTCCAAGATGTCGAGGGGTTGCGGGTAAAAGCAGGCAGTCGTTCAAGGCAGTCGTTCATTGTAAGTTGATGTACATATCTTTTATTTTATCTGGTCCTGAACATCACCAAACTGTAACAGCTTAGATCTGAAAACCAGAATGAAAGGGAAAATAAAGAATTATTGCTTTCGCTTTTCACCACCCTTAATCGTGGATATTTTTTTGTTGTTTTGTTCGTAGCAAATGTGTACCCCAGATGATGAGTAATCTATCTATCTATCTATCTATCTATCTATCTATCTATCTATCTATCTATCTATCTATC